ACTTTCCTAAACTTGAACAGCTTCTGTTAAAAATACATTTGTCCCAGGGCCGAGCCCCTGGCGCACTCAGGAGAGTGCGGCGCTGGGAGCGCAGCAGCGCTCCCGCCGTGGGTTCGGATCCTATGTAGGGATGGCCGGTGTGCTCACAGCACTCACTGGCTGAGCGCTGTGCGGCCGGTCTCAAAAAGGACAAAAAAAAAAAAAATTCATTTGTCTCTTCTTATCTGTAGTTTTGCTGTTCATAATTTCAGTTGTCCCCAGTTCACCATGGTCCAAAAATATTAAGTGGAAAATTACTGAAGTAAACAATTTGTAAGTTTTAAGTTGCACACTGTTCTGAGCAGCATGATGAAATCTCTCGCCAACCAGCTCCGTCCCCCGTGGGATGTGAGTCATCCCATAGTCCAGCATGTCCACTGTCTGAGCTACACCTGCCTGATAGTCACGTAGCAGCCAGCTCAGATATCAGATCAACTGTAGTGGTATCACAACACTTGTGTTCAAGTCACCCTTATTCGACTTAATGATGGCCCCAAAGTGCAGAGCAGTGATGTGGGAATTCGGATATGCCAAAGAGAAGCCATAAAGCGCTTCCTTTAAATGAAAAGGTGAAAGTTCTTGACAATAAGGAAAGAAAAAATATTGTAAGATCTATGGTAAGAACAAATTTTCTATCCATGAAACTGCAAAGAAAGAAGACATTTGTGCATAGTGTATATAAGGTTCGGTACTGTTGCAGTTTCAGGCATCCCCTGGGGGTCTTATCCCCTATCCTCTGCAGTAAGGGGGTATTACTGTGGTAAGGAGCAAGTCAAATAACCTACCAGAGAACTTTAAATTTTGGGATAGCCTTCTGAACTTGACATATTCATCTATACCACATCTGAATTCTGAACTCAGTGTGGGTCACTTGTCACCATCATAAAATCTCCTTTTCCTCCCCTTTCCCTCTGGGAAGTTGAGTACCTTTCCAGCAGATAAGAGGCCCCTTCGACAGTATACCCTGGGAGCTTCTGACTAGGTAGTACTTTAAGTGCTTCTGCTTCTTTGGCTGGGTGGTGAGCTTCAAGTTAATGTGGTTGGAAAATTCCGTGAAATACCGAAATCCTCTTTCTCCACAGCCGATACAGTTTCCAGAAAACCCTAAAATGAGGAAAATCAACATTACTAGTGGCCTTGCAAGTTAATCCAATACTTTTACATATAAAAAGCATAGAAATATTCACATTCTTTGACCTAATAATGTCCTAATTTCAAAAAAGTAATTCAAAGGAAAAAGGAAAACAGGTACAAAATTTTGTTTGTTTGTTGTTTTTGGCAGCCGGCTGGTATGGGGATTGAACCCTTGACCTTGGTGTTATAACACCACACTCTAAACAACAAAAATTTTTAAATAGTTATTTTATCACAGTGAAAGACTGGAAATAGTTTAAATGCTGCTCTAAAAGGCTAATGGTTAAGGAAATAGAGTGGAAAGTGTAATGTGATAACATTTATAAGAAGAAAAAAAGTTTGATCCTAGAGATGTCCATCATTTCTACTCCATGCACTCCCTTCCTAGAGAGCCTGTGGGTCTTAGCTCTGGTTCTCTACCCTACCCAGCACATGAACTGACCTCCACGGCCACAGTGGATGAGACTGTGGACAAATATCTGACCCAATCTGGGACAGCCGGAGTCTCTCTCCTTAAATTTTTAAATAAATGCAAAAAGTCAGTCAGATGGTACTGGACCCTGGATTTGTAAGGTTTTTTAAAATTAGAACCTGAGTTGGGGCTATGCCAACCATGTGTAAGCTAATGTGTGGGAAAAACAAACTAAGTTGTGAAAAGGAAGCTGGTCTGCAGAGAGGACAGCACAGCACACAGAGATGTGCAAATTCAGGGCAGTTTCTATGAGATATAGCTATAAGCTTTCTGACATGAGTGCCATGAGATCCGCATTTCCTCTTGATTCAACCCTTCTTTATTCAAACCAGATTATTCCTTTAGATCTAACATCCAAACAATTCCTCACTCAGACAAGTCAAACGAAATAAAACTTTCAGTGACCTGGATGGAGCAGGGAGCGTGGAAAGAAGAAATGAAGAAGGCTGGGATGATGAGGAACCATGGTCTGCTTTGTTAAAAATCGACTTTTTGGTTCCCTTTAACACAGAGAGGAAGAGTCAGAGAGTGAGTCACTCTGATTGCATCTGATGAGGACACAACACATTTACATACAGGTGAACAGGACAAAAAAGTTGTAAATAAGAAAGGGCACTCCATATCGTATAAAGACAAGATCTCTATACACAAATAATTTACTGAAAATAAATTCACTAATGAAGTGACTTACTCTTTTCAAACCCCTAAACCATCTTGCTATATAATTAACAAAGATATATAAGGAAAGAAGAGAAAGGCAGCAAGGATTAAATACAGAATGTCTCACAATATCCCAATCTCAGAATGCTGACAATCAATTAAAACCAATTATAAATAGGCAGTCCAGTTTATTATTATTAATTTAATAATTATTATTGAGCACCTACCTATATGCTAGGCACTTTGCTGAGCACTAGAGAAACAGTGGTAAACGAGACAGTCATAACCTATGGTTAACAACACAGACTTAATAGTTTATTACTGTCACTTTATAGAAAAATAAAATTAACATAATTTTATAAATGACTTAGAATATACTCAGAGATGGATTGTATTTGAAAGCCTTTGGCCATTTGTCCTATACCTTGAAGCTGTAGTCCAAAAAAAATGGCTGTCAATAGCTGCCTAGTTCACCAAGCTCCTAAAGTCACCATCCATCCATCCATCCAACCATCCATCCATCCATCCATCCATCCATCCATCCATCCATCCAACCAACCAACTAAGCAACCAATGCTTGTACTCTATGATGTACTAGACACTATCTCAGGTACCAGATCTTCAGCACTGAACAAAGCAGACAGAGCCTCTGCCTTCATGGAAATTGCACTCTGGTGCAACCACCATGCTTTGGTGGAAAACTGCCTGACCTGAGAGGCAGACATACCACACCCAAAAGAGTAAAAAGCTGTAAGAACCTTTCAGCTGAAATAATTATGGACAGTGCTGAAAAACTAGTCTTATCTGATAGGTCCGCGTAATTCAGAAAAGATTAGTGTGAGAATCAGAATGGACAAATCACTGAGGTTGAGTTCTGTCTCTTATCTTTTCTTCTGTCTGTTCTCTGAGATGAAAAGCACGAGTGTGAAGAGAGAAAAGCAATAGGTCTGGATAATCTGCTAAGAAGAGAACCTTCCGGTCAATAGCAGTTAACAATATGAAAGAGTCAGAATCTTACAAGTCCGTTTTTAAAACTCTGTACGGTTTCAGCATTAGCCTTGGTTCAAGGGAGATTTTATCTGGTCAAAGTTCTTGCTATCATGGATAACAAAAAATAAGATCTCTTACAGCCAAATCACCTTTCTAGTTTTTCTGGCAGTCAAGTCTTCGAACTACACAGTAGATTTGGGGCACATGCACTGCCAACTGGATCAATATCTTTTTAAGTCAATTAACCCATGCCCTTTGGGATCTGCATAATTTATATAAAAACTGAGACAAATTTATATTGGAGTCCACAGGGATTCTGGAATATCTGAAACTTTAAAAATTTCCTATTGTGTCTTTTTCTATTTTTTATTTACTTTATTTTTATTTACTGAAACATGGTTGATAGTACATATCTGTGCGGTACAGCATTTAATATCATTACCTGTGCCACTATATCTTAATGCATACTAAAATCATCCATCGGGGCTGGCCCGGTGGCGCACTGTGCTAGTGCGCCGCTTGGGAAGCGCGGTGGCGCTCCCGCTGAGGGTTCGGATCCCACATACAGACCAGTTCCCGCTCACTGGCTGAGTGAGGCACGGGGGCAACGCCGAGGGTTGCGATCCCGTTGCCGGTCCCGGTCCGGTACGGGGGCGACACTGAGGGTTGCGATCCGTTGCCGGACACGGAAAAAGACAAAAAATAAATAAAATAAAAAAAATAAAATAAAATCATCCATCATAAGTAAGAAATGCTGGATAAATATTAGGTTTTGGACAACTGAGTACTGAACATGTAAAAATCTCAACAGCGTGCGTCTCTAAGAAAAACCTACCATTTTGTTGCTGAATTACACTCTCACATGGAGAAGTGGTTAGTGAAAAATTATGTCCATTTACAAGGCTACAGAAAGGACGCAAAGCTTCAAATCTGTGGAGGTATTTAATAAATACAATAGCAGAGTAACTACCGTTTAAAGAGTAAGTACTGTATCCCACACACTGTGCTAGATGATGGAACTCATTTGATCTTTACAACACTGCAAGGCAGGCATTATTGGCCACATTGTATACATAAGGGATCTAAGACTTTGAGTTCTTGAACTACGTGCCCAAGGTCTTAAAGCACCAAGTGGCAAATCTGGGATTTAAACCCAGTTCTGATTCCAACACCTATGGTCTTTGGTCTCATATTCCTGATTACAAAAGATGATGAAATCTATTAGAGACAGTCTCCGATTTAGGATTTTTTCAACTTTACAATGGTGTGAAAGCAATACAAATTCAGTAGAAACCATACTTCAGATTTTGAATTTTGATCTTTTCCCAGGCTAGCGATACGCAGTACGGTGCTTTCTTGCAATGCTGGGTAACAGCAGTGAGCCACAGCTCCCAGCCAGCCCAGAGACCATGAGGGTTAACAACCAACGCTCTACAGTGTACTAGGTTGCCAGTGCTTTCTGGATGTTGTGTTTTGTTCTCATATCCCAGTGTGTCTACAAAATGCTCATTATTGTACAGTATTTAAGACTTAATCATAAAATAGGTTTTATGTTAGATGATTTTGTCCAATTGTAGGCTAATATAAGTGTTCTGAGCACACTGAAGGTAGGTTAGGCTAAGCTATGGTATTCGAGGGTTAGGTGTATTAAATGCATTTCCTTTTTTTTTTTTCCTTTTTGTCTTTTTTTACTGACTGGTAACGGGATTGCAACCTGCAGTGTCACGCCCGTACCAGGGACCGGCAACGGGATCGCAACCCTCGGTGTTGTGCCCGCACCGCGCTCAGCCAGTGAGTGGGAACTGGTCTCCACATGGGATCCGAACCCTCAGCAGGAGCGCTGCCGCGCTCCCAAGCGGCGCACTCTCCAGTGCACCACCGGGCCAGCCCCTAAATGCATTTTCAACTTAATGACATTTTCAACTTATAATAGGTTTATTGGAACATAATCTCATCCATTGTAAGTCGGGGAGCATCAGTATTCTGATGATGTTTTCTGTGTCTTTTCCATGACGTATTCTAAGAAGATTCCTCTAATCACAAAGAATCATTGAACAAAAAGGCATTATGAGAGATTTTCAATGTCCGTAGTCAGAGTCACATCTAAACTGTTTCATTAATTAAGACTGTGATGCTGTTAAAATGTGCTAAAAGTTTTCTAAAATCCTTCTACCACAGCCTACTATGTTGTAAGCACCGTGAGGACTGAGCCTTATAATTTTTGCACCTCTACATCGTAGTCTAGCATGATGTCTGTCACACAGTACATTTTGAATAAATATTGCTGAATGAATGAACAAATCCTTGAACCTTCTTTGCTAATTTAATTCAACATATAACCATTAGGGGCTGGCTGGTTAGCTCAGTTGGTTAGAGTGCAGTCAACACCCAGGTCAAGGATTTGGATCCCCATCCTGGCCAGCCACCAAAATGAATGAATGAATGAATGAATGAATGAATGAATAAACAAATAAATAAATAAGATTTATCATTAAACTTCTATATTAAATCACCTGTTCAACTTCACTAAAAGAAAAATAAAGCAAACACATTCTTTATGAGAGCTTTATGAAAAATGAAAATCACTTCTTTTTCTATGAACCAACAGAAGTCTTTGAACTAGGTTTTAAGGAACCTTTCTAAAGTATGTGATTGGTCACTTTCTCACTCAAGACACTGATCAATGTATTCCCAGACTTTCTGATGAAACTATATAACTAGGAAGAATGCATCAAATTAAACAAACAAATACTCCTCACAATCAATACAACACTTGAATTCTTTGCCTTCCTCTCTCTGTTTCCTTTTTACTGATATTTGTTCCTAAAACATCTGTCTGATTCCATCTATAAGAAAAATTCTAAGAAACAAAAATGACCCTGGAGAAATACAGCAGAAAAAAAAGCAGCAAACCTCATGTGCCATTTTATCTTTTAAATTAATAAAAATAATAAAAAAATAAATCTGCTCTTTATTATTTCCCATGATATAGAGAAGTTATATTGTGAAAAAGCCCAGAGTCTAGTACTAGAAGGTAAAACAATTCTGAGATAAAGTACATTTTACATCATATATATGATGTAAAAAATATATTTATACACACACTCATATTCCTAGTTATTTTGGATGAACTACTGTTAGACATAAAATGATAATTACATCAAACAAGTATTATTTCTAATCGGTGTTATGAAAAAACTACAAATAACTTAAAAGTAGATAATCCACAGATGAATAATTGACAGTTGACTTGACATCAGGTCTGGATTAATGACCCTATAGGGTGAATTCTACTTTATCTTATAAAATATTAATGTTTGATAAACTGCATGTTGTCCTTTAATGTCTGGTCCAAGAAGTCTTTTAATTAAGGCAAGTCTTTTGAGAATGATTGAAAATGAAAACTAATATTTAATGAGGTACTAAAAGAAAAAATTGTTTCATACTTGAACTAAACTATATAACCCCCAACTAATTCTGTGATAACTTTAAATGTGTATTTTAACTCCCTCATCTTAGAAGGAATTTTACTCTATTTTTTCTGTCTCAATATATTTTTTAAGTTGTGGTAAGAATGTTTAACATGAGATCTACCCTTGTAGCAAAATTTTATGTGCACAATGCAGTATTGCTATCTATAGGCACAGTATTGTACAGCAGATATCTAGAACTTATTTATCTTTATAAATGAAACTTTGTATCAGTTGTACAGCAACTGCCCATTCCCCCCAGACCCTGGCAAACACCATTCTACGCTCTGATTCTGTGAGTCTGACTATTTTAGATACATCATAAAACTGGAATCATGCAGTATTTGTCTTTCTGTAACTGGCTAATTTCACTTAAGAGACATACAAATAGCCAACAGCTAATTAAAAAGATGATCAACATCTCTAATCATCAGGGAAACACAAATGAACATCACAATGAGGTATTACCTCATGTTTGTTAGAATGGCTATTATCGGGCCGGCCTGGTGGCGCACTCAGTAGAGTGCGGCACTTGGGAGTGTGGCGGCGCTCCCGCCGAGGGTTCGGATCGCATATAGAGACCAGTCTGCTCACTGGTTGAGCGCGGTGCGGGCGCAACACCGAGGGTTGCGATCCCGTTGCCGGTTCCCAGTACGGGCGCGACCCTGAGGGTTGCGATCCCGTTACCGGTCACGAAAAAAGACAAAAAAAAAAAAAAAAAAAAAAAAAGAATGGCTATTATCATAAAGTAAAAACAAAACCAAAAGATAACAAATGCTGGTGAGGACGTGGAAGAATTGGAACACCCATACGCTGTTGATGGGAATGTAAAATGGTGCAGCTGCTGTGGAAAACAACATGGAGGTTGCTCACAAAGTTAAAAAATAGTACTACCATATGATCCAGCAATCCCACTGTGGGGTATATAACCAAAAGAATTGAAATAGGATCTCAGAGAGATATCTGAACTCTTGTGTTCACTGAAACATTCACAATAGGCAAGACGCGAAAACAAACCAAATGTCTGTCCATGGATTACTAAATAAAGAAATGTTAGCATATACAAACAATGGAATATTATTTGGCCTTAAAAAAGAAAATCCTGCCATATATGACAATTGGAAGGAATTTTATAAGCATGAAATATTCACCTAAAAGTGCATTTTTTCCATGATCATCTGGTAGAAATCGCTTGTCTACAGCACAAACCAGGATGTGTTCAGGAAGATTGGGAGATTTGGCCCCCACCAGGAGGAATCCTGCTGGGACGTCAATTTGTTCCATACACAGTGATACCAAACGCAAATCCTTTCCAGCTTGACAAAAACCTAAAAGGTAAAAAGGATAGAGTGAAATATTTAGTGAGGCTCCTCATCACCCAATTGGAGAGCAGATTTATCCGTAGGAATCACCATTAAGGACTAAAAGTAAAGTCCATATACTTGATCCAGAAGACAAATCTATCATATGTGCCCCTTTGAAGAGAGCTGAAAAGATACTAAAAGGAGATATTTCCATGTGCTTCAGCCAAAATGACTTTATATTTTCTGGTCCACAGGTAAGGCAATGATAAACACACAGCAAACTTTGAAAAGTGCATGTAATTTGTATGTGCATGTAATACAGTAATTTTTACTTTCAATGCAAATTCAGTTCTCTAAATGGGGACAATCAGAATAGATATGCTCTACATGTCACAAAGGAAGAGGCTGAAGCTCAGAGTTTGGTGATTCACAAACGAATGGGCCAGAAGTAGAACTCAGAACTAGAGTTTTTATTTTTATTAGATATGACATGATATAATGAGACATGACAAAATCTTACATAACCACTTTGTATACCATGATGTATTACACAAATTCATTCATTCATCATTTATTAAACAAACACTTGCAAAGGATGCTGTACTTGGCCTGGGGATACAGAATTGAACAAAATATATCTTCCTCTAAGAACCCTCAGTGAAGTCAATTAGAAGAATATATAAGGAATCAAGAATTACAAAGACAATATTGCAGAGGGCAGCTATCGTTCTGCTGTGCATCTTCTGCGAAATGACCCTCTCTGTACTCTAATCTTGTAATTCCCCTGGAGAGCTGTGATACTCCAGATTGACATGGAGCTGGCCCCTGATGCAAGCTGGGTCACTTTAATATCCTAACTTACTGGCCATAGTTAATTGGTCCAGGGGTAGGCAGCTGACATAAACCAGGCCAATGGCCTTTTCCCTAGGAATTCTGAACATGGAGCCAGCGAGAGCATGGATGGTAGTTTGCTTGGTGGCAGCCCTGTTCCTTGACCTGCGAGGCAAGTCTGTCAGCAGAGACAAGAGGAGGGAGATTGTTCTGGCAGTGTTTGGGTCCCTGAAGCCCAGCTGTATTTGCCTTTCCCGTTTTTTAGTCATAAAACCTTTTGGTTTTGAATTCTTCCAATAATTTCATTTTACCTAAGCTACTTGCTGTTGGGTTTCTGTCATTTGCAACCAAGAGAGGCTGAATAAAAGTATGATAAATGATATTTCAGGAACTTGAGGGAGCATGAGGAACAGACACCTAAAACTCCACATACAAACCTAAGGAGCACCATCATCATTGCCCAATATAAAGTAGGGAAGAACCATGATAGATTCTTCTAGCATCAATTCACATTGTGATTTCAACCAACACCAACAAATAATTCAATGCCATCAATTAGTATAGGAGAAATTTTAAAAATCACCATGAAAACCATGGATAAAGCTGTGGTGCTGATAAATCTACCATATAGTTTGAATCATCAAACCTAAAAAGCAGGAATAATGGAATTGGAAAAAAGACAACAGAAGACTAAAATGATAAAGAGAATGAGGTTCAATCATTTCAAGCTTGTAGATCTCTTTTTAACATTCACAAAAGTCAATTTAACTTTTAGAGTCCGTGAATTTAGAAAATAACAACAAAAAGTTATTACGAATTATTTAACAATTTGAAATAGATCTGCATTTTATCGTTCACAATATTATCTATATTTATTTGAAAAATAGTCATTTATATATGTGAGTCATATTACTTACTCAGTTTAACAAACAGTTTTTGGAGGCTACAGATACATGGAACCCCTTGATAGAATTCTACAACTCCCACCTCTGTTAAGAGACAGGGCTCACAGGTTTGGAAGTTGGAAATTGATGATATGTTGGTGATGATGATGATGATGCTAACATGCTGATGATACTGATGTCAGCTAAAACTTATGGAGCACTTACCATAAGTCAGGTGTGGTGCTAAACACTGTGTAGATTATCTTATGTAATTCTCTCAACAACTCTAGGTAGGTACTACCATCTCCCTTTCATAGATGGAGAAAATGAGTCTCAGAAAGGTTAGGAAACTTGTCCAAGGTTACATAACAAGTCTGATAACGTCAGACTTGATGTAAGACAAGGGAAGTTTGCCATATAAGAACAGACAAAAAGCATACTATCATCTTGGCAAAAGCAAAGCTAAGGGCAATTCGGACCCAGTGGTTATGATCACCTCATTAAAAAAAAGTCAAAATTGGGCCAGCCCGGTGGCGCACTGCTATAGTGCACCGCTTGGGAAGTGCGGTGGCGCTCCCGCCGAGGGTTCGGATCCCAAACCTAAAACTTTCTCATCACATAGAGCAAAAATTGTAAAATTAAACCTAAAACTTTCTCATCACATAGAGCAAAAATTGTAAAATTAAACCTAAAACTTTCTCATCACATAGAGCAAAAATTGTAAAATTAAACCTAAAACTTTCTCATCACATAGAGCAAAAATTGTAAAATTAAACCTAAAACTTTCTCATCACATAGAGCAAAAATTGTAAAATTAAAAAAAAAGGAAAAAAAAAAAAAAGTCAAAATCTACTTTTAATACCTACATTTTGGAATTTCTACATTTTGGGATTAAAAGGATGTAGTAGTTTAATTTTACAATTTTTGCTCTATGTGATGAGAAAGTTTTAGGTTGCTGTTTGCAGGAAATTCTCTATAACATGCTGTTGAAAAAATATGTTTTCCCCCTTCATATATGAAAAGCTAAACTGACTTTTTTCAAAATGAGGGGTGAACACAGACTTTTTCATCAAATTCTAAAATAATAAATCTAGGAGGCATTTAAAAGTACGAAAAGGAGCACTAATTTTTTTAGTCAAAGAAATTACTAATTTGCATAGACAATAAAACTAGAAGCACATTTTCCCTAAAATGTAGCACCTTTATTAAAAGTATGACTTGCTCCCAAAGGCAAAACATATAAAATATCTTTCCCAAAGGTGTAGATAAATTCAGAGATGAGTTCATGATTGCCTATTAATGGCAAGCAGGGGAGCTATCTCCGTCACTAAGAAGTAGCAATGCAAACTTTCTTCAGCTTTGATTCACTCTATATTAGAAGAGTGGACTAGATGGAACCACAAGTCTGAACCAATTTGCAAATTATTACAAGTTTTTTAGAACATTAGAGTTATATGGAACCTCAAGATCATCTAACACAGCTTTTCTCAACAAGTGGTTATTAAATTCCCATGGACTTATAAAGGTGTTCCAAGATACTTGGAAATTACAAGTGAAATTTAAATAAACATCATTATCGATTTCTAAAAACTAAAAAATAATTATTTTAATATCCTACTTTTAAAATAGAATATTCTGAGGACCTTTCATCCAATATATGTAGGATTAGTGGAAACCCACTGAGAGAGCTCATAATTCACTCAGTTAAACCCCATATCATTGTGTGGTTTTGAATATTACACAATTTCAAATTATTTTTATTTTCAGTCATATGTATCAATATACTGCTTAATCTGCATACGTTGGTTAAAGAGGAGAAGCTCAGGAAACACTGATTATGTTAATGAACACAAAGGAGTAATTTTACACAGGCCTAAATATGCTGTTTGCTAGATGTGAAAGTTAAATTCATTCCCTACCTTCAGGCATTAAATTATAAGACTACATAAAATGCAACAATATGTTGCTAGAACACCGAAAAACAAAAGTTCAAAAGGTAAAAATTTAGTGATTGTAATCCAATTTGGCTTTTCATATATGAGGGGGGAAAACATATTCTCTTTCAACAGCATGTGCTGTGAGCCACCCTGCTATAGGGAATGGCATGGGAACCTGAGGAGTGATACCCCTTGTTCTGCAGGCTACAAGGGGGTCCCATGTGTGTGGTACGGCTCCGTGGAATTTCTTGTTTGTTCACCTTTGGTTGCTTGACAAGGCTTCCCAGAATTAAACAGCCTAACCTTTTGTCTTAGTATGGCTTTGGGAAATTCCCTGGAGTTTCTCAAAGGACATGTTAATATACATCAAAATTAACTGGTTTATTTAAAAGGCATTGTCAGTACTAAAGGTGTTTTTGATGCACGTTCCCGGTATGGGTTGGCTCAATTTAATTTTGTTATTAATCTTTCTTGTTAGTGATGTGTGCATTAACCCATTGTGGCTGTGGTCATGCTCTTGTACGTGTGGAATGAAGTTATTATTTTGGAATTCTATCTACATTCCCCCAGGGAGACGGTGGGTCCAGGTGCAGTGGTGTTTACAGCTAATTGATCACAACCAGTTACAGATTTCTTTGTTTCTCCCCATTCTCACAGTTTCACTTGATTTACCAAGAACATGTTCTTTCCTTAGTAATGATAAGAATGATATAGCGTGTTTTGGTTAGCTTGAGTAGGATCATTTAATTTTTCACTTTGTTCCTTGTACAAATTTTTCACTTTGTTCCTTGACTCTGTTCCCAGAGTCAATTGGCAAGAAAACAGAAAGTTTTACTATAGAGATGAATAGGTAAAATAGTAGAGATATATAAAAAGGTTTTGATATTAATAGATTTTGTTTAGATTAAAGTGTAATTGTTTTTAATAGTAGTACAAAATATAATAAAACATTTATAAAAAATCATAGACATTGTGATTTTGGTTAAGAATTAGAATAGTTAATATAAAACATAAAACATTAAATTGTTAAATATAAGTAAGATTTAATAGGAATTTAGAATATAAGTTTATGTGTAAGTTTAAAAGGTTAAGAATTGTGATTCAGACCAAAAGTCTGATGTTTTAAAGCCAAACATGCTGCTATTGTATAGTTTCCTGGCCGCAAGCCACAGGCTTTGGGGTGAACTATTAATGCATGAGTGGGTGCTTTTATCACAGCATGAGTGCTTTGGAACATTCTGATTTTTCTTTTTCTATAGAGATGAAATAAAAAAAATGCTTTGATTGAAAGATGAATCATTATGTAAAAGATTAAGTAAAAACATATAAATAAAGCAAGGTTCTTGTGGTGGTTGTCCACACTTGCACTAGA